ATATGTCTGATTTTGTGTGAGCCTGTGCATGTGAGAGAGAGGGTGTGTGTGTGTGTGAGAGTGCATGTGTGTGTGAGAGTGAGTGTGTGTGTCTGATTGTGTGTGAGTGTGTGCGTGTGAGAGAGAGAGAGACAGAAGGGAGCGTGTGTGTGTGTGAGTGTGTGTCTGATTGTGTGAGTGTGTGAATGCGTGTGTGTGTTTGAAAGAGAGAGATAGAGTGTGTGTGTGTGTGTGTGTAGTCCCTACATTTGCGTGGTCCTGCTGTAATCCTCTTCTCTCCTCCATGATCCAGACTGTAAACACACACAGATTCACATTCAGTCAATACACAAACATCAGCTTATAACACACACACACACACACACACACACACACACACACACACACACACACACACACACAATAAGACATGTGGAGTGTGTGCTGAATGCTGGATTGTGATTGGCTGATCTCAGTGCATTAATAACTGCAGTAAAACAACATGAGTGTGTGTGGAGCTGTCAAATCAGCTTCTGAATGACACACAGAGCTTTTAGATCAGATGTGGAAACAGAAAACAGAATGGAAACACAGAAACAGACAGATATAAAGACTGAAGGATTCATTCAATGATCAATTGACAAAAGCGCAGCACAATAATAAAGCAGAATTCAGTGTTAAATGACTTGAAATATGATGGAGATCTTCATCTTCTGTCAAATGCCTCTTCATCATCTCCAAACATTGCTAAGTTGGAGAGCAGTGAATCCAGACCAATCTGCAGTCCTCCTCGCCCTTTGGAAGCTTGGTGGGTTTGTGTTCTGTTTATTGTTCATAATACTTCAGTTATAAAGGATTAGTTTAGGAGTTTTTTGTCATTTGCTTTATTTGAGTTTGTTCAACATGTGATTGTCACTGGACTATATCAGAACCAGCATCACTGTCTGCTGATCACTTTTATTGCCTGATATTTTGTGTTCATGTTAGTTTAGAAGCAGAAAAGAGCCAGATTACAAGATATGTGAGATATTTGCCAGAAACATCTTTGTTATGTCCACATTGTGAATGTAAATTGATATTGTTTATTTTCTTCCTGTTTATAGTTTTACTCCGCCCTTATTAAAGTGTGATAAAGGACATTCTGTGTCTGTGAAGTTCATGAGGGAGAGTTTAACTTGCTGTTAAAGTATACACAGGACGTATTTGGAGAACAGTACACACACATCTCTGAGCTGATACTGTACAGTTCTTCAGCAGAAATGTAGAGAACAAGTTTCACTGCTCAACTACAATGCTGAAACTGTACAGTGTTAATATGAGATATAATATCACGCTTAATGTGAGAACTGCCCCAGTGCACTGACATATTTAACAGCTTTGATTCATATCTGGACACTAGAAGAGCAGTGAAGTATCAAAGTATCTGTATTCACAATAAAAAAGGCAGTGCTGCTCCACATACTTGAGTTTGTCCAGTGTGTAGTTTGGATCCTCCAGTTGTTCAGAGAGCAGCTTGACTCCTGAATCTCCTGGATGATTGTAGCTCAGATCCAGCTCTCTCAGGTGTGAGGGGTTTGAAGTCAGAGCTGAAGACAGAAAACCACAGCCTTCCTCTGTCACCATACAGCCAGACAATCTACAAACACAGCAATAGTCCACATCACACAGTTGGACAATCACACATCTCTTTGTGTTGTGAAGATGCTGACTGCTGTTTCTGCTCATGTCAACAGCAGTGATGAACACACACATCCTGATCAGCTCTCCTTATTGATCACATCAGCAAACACACACACACACACACACACACACACACACACACACACACACACACTCAACAAGGACTCGACATCATCTGTAGAAGTTTATATCAATATAAATAAAATATTACCCCAGCACATTTGGGCTCCGCATCTGGTAATATTTAAGGGCTGTTCACACAGAAATGTTGAATGTCGACACCCACAGACAGACACAACCTGGTCAAGTTTTCAAACAGTGAACTGAGACTGCAACTATTAGTGAAATCTATATTAAAGCTCTTCAAATATGATTTAGATTTACAGTAATTGTTTTTCATGTTTAAATCTGATTTATTCTTGTGTTTAAAGCGTTTGTCATTCCTCTACTTCAGTGTCTCAGACTCATTCAGAAATGATTATTAAATGCTGGATTAATGCACAAGAGAGTTTGGCGAACACGTTTTACACCATTTCAAATATATATTATATGTGCGGCTGTATAAGTCACATACAGCGCTCAGCATAATGGAGGACAGCCCATTCTGAAAACCAAGACTTTCCTCCATTTCTCAGTCAATATAGGCAGTGTATTCTGCTGCATTTAAACAGAACACATTTATTAAACTGATTTATTCATGAACATCATATTTTAGTCACCAAACATATTCAGAAATTAAAAGATAATACAATTAAATTCAGGCTAAATACTGCAAAAAAAAAACTACTAAATTTCAGCTAAATGTTTTATTGTTAATTTTCCTCTTTTTACATTTTGTGTTTAATATTTTTCTATAGCACATAGATGTGGTTGTACTTGTTTTTACACTGTTATCATGAGTTATTTTGTTAGATGAGCTCCAGATTTGGCTAATCTATTGTATATGCACACATATAATACTGTAGAGCTTCCTATTAAACTATGAATGTAAAAGAGAGATTAGTGAGGGCTGTACTTATATATGCTGAGCACTGTATATTGTTCACCCAGAGTGTTTACATGGTCACACAGCAGTAACACAACAAGCATTGAGTTTGGGCTAGCTTCTGCAGATGGACATTGCTGTACACTGCCCTTGATGGGTGAGTGGGGGAGTGTCTGTTGTCTCTCAGGTGTGAATTATTCATGAGCATTGTCACTCACACATACAGCTGAGATCACCCAAAACAAACTTAACAAAATGTAGATCATTGTAATGTTTTCTCTGAATGAGAGAACAGAATAATTTCACATAATTGTGCTGTAAATATTCTAGTCTACAAGACTGCTTACTCTAAAGTCTCATTCAGGCCCATTCAGTCTGGTTTTATATCTTATTTCAGCTATTTTTTTCTTCAAAACCTACTAACCACACATAATATTTGTTTTCTAAAAAACACCAGCATGTACATCAATATTTCCCACATATTATTGTAGCTCAGTTTGTGCTGAACACAAATGAAACACATGTTGGTCAGTTCTGTTTAATAAGTAGCTGAAATAAGCACAGATGTCAGGGCATGTCAAAACATCTCAGGGGTCCCAAAATCACCTCAGACCCCTGAGGGTTAACTACAGGTATAGTATGAGCAGTGTGAAAAACAATTACTGATAAACCATAATTCCTGTTATCTGGGGTTTAGTATCACCCAGGGTTAACATGTTCAAGCTTGAAGAGCTCTAATATGAAACTGTCTGACTGTAGTTATTGTAGAGTGGAGAATCATTTACCTCAGTTTGTCCAGTTTACAGTGTTGACTCTTCAGTCCATCAGAGAGCTTCTTCACTCCTGAATCCTGCAGGTCATTGTTACTCAGGTCCAGCTCTCTCAGCACACAGTTTGAGGATTGTAGAGCTGAAGACAAACTCTCACAGGACCGAACAGTGAGTTCACAGCCCTGTAGTCTGTGTAGAGGACAAACACAATATTGATTGAATATTGTTGATCTGGTGTGTTTAATAGTCTGAGGACATCTGACTGTAGCAGAGATGGCAAAAGTACACACATCCGTTACTTAAGTAGAAGTACAGATACTCATGTTTAAAACGACTCTGGTAAAAGTAAAGAAGTACTGTCTTAAACATGTACAAAAGTACAAAAGTAAAAAGTAGCAGTTTCAACCACAGTACAAAGACATGCGGTGTAGGTGAATAATGGGTAACTAAATTGGCAGGAGTGTATAAGTGTGTGTGTGAATGGGTGTTTCCCAGTACTTGGTTGCAGCCGGAAGGATATCTGCTGTGTTAAACATATGCTGGAATAATTGGCGGTTCATTCTGCTGTAGGAACCCCTGATAAATCAGGGACTAAGCTGAAGGATAGTGAGTGAGATAGGTAGGTAACTAGTCCTCTCATACTATTGATACAATAATATAAACTAACCTACATTTACAATTTGTATGTAAAATGTTTGTTTCCAATTTTCTGAAAGTATCCAAGCAGCATCACGGCCTGTAATACTGTACAACATTGCTCATAAAGTCGGCTCATGTATCATCATCCTGACACAAACTCACAGCGTTCAGCATCAAGTTTTGTGGCCGTTAGATCAAAAACATCAGCTGCTATTCACGTTCATACACTCTAATAATAATTCTGTAGGCCTGTCTGTCTTTATAAATAATGTTTATATATATATATATATATATATATATATATATATATATATATATATATATATATATATATATATACACACACACCCAGGGAAATACTTTTAAAATAGTTTTTGTTTATTAATATTTTAATAAACAAACAAACAAACTGATAACAATAATTTCTGTAGCATCTTTAAAAGTTGCATCTCAAAGCACTTTTCAAAATAAAGTGAAACAGATACATAAATAACAGAAATAAAGAAAATAAATAACGAACACACAGAAACCACACATGTAAGAACAGTATCCATCTGAAAATGCAGGATTGCCATTATTCAGCAAAGCCTTTATTAACAAGGTAAAATACTAGTATTTTTGACCAGTCTGGTGAACAGTTTAAAGCCATTAAATCTTTAAAAGGGCTTAAAATAGTTAAAATCCTCTTTGCAATGTCAGTGTACAGCAATAGTTTACAGCAGTGTAGATTTACTGTTGTAGATGGTGCTACAGTGCACGGTGCTCAGCTATAGCACTGAGTAAATAAGTAGAGCAATGACCAAGCAGTAAACTCCCACTCTCCCTCATGAAGCTAACACAGAAGTACCTGCAACTGCAACTCATGGAAATCCCACTACTCACGGCCACTTAAAGAGCAGATTTCTATTGAGCCCACTCTTAAAATGGCCGACTTTACAGCAGAATAAAGGTGTTTTGGTTCATATGGCTAATATTAGCCTTCATGATAACTGTGAGGGGGAGATGTTTCTTATGACTCATCTGTTTTCCTTTATTTCTTTATTTTCCTTTATATTAAGTCTGCATAATTAAGGGCGTGGCCACTTGAGTGACAGCTAGGTCTCGCTGGTAGCTGTCTCCTTACCTCAGCTGATTCCGGTTGATTAGCCGCTGAACTCGATGTATTTTTGTGTTGTTTATGTGGCTTTACACAGTCAGTTGCCTTTTGGAATTGTCTCCTACAAGAATCAGATGATATGGCATGCTGTGTGCACTTCACAAACCATTCATGTGGCCTCCATTTCCCAGGTGAGTGAAATGATATACTTATATAGCCTCTCTATAAATGTATTTGTTTTGTATAAGATCATTCATCATTTAAATGCTCTTTAGAGCTGTAATGCGCTCCAGAATCTGTCAGATTGATTAGCTGCAGGCTCTAGATCAGTCATCTGCAGTGTTGTCATACAGTGTTATGCTGGAGTTCATCAATAGTCTTGTCTTCTTGTGTTAAGTCTTGTGTCCTTTATTTGTCCTTTGTTTATATGGTGCACGCTTGTTCAACACTTTGGTAAACACTTGTTGTCTTTAAAAGTGCTTTATAAATAAACATTGTCTTGACTTGTCATTGAATTATTATTCCTGTTTGCTTTTTGAGCACTGTTGAGCGAGTTCTTAAACACCTGTGATTGGTCATCATGTTCCTCTACAGAGATGATGATGCTGATGACTGCGCTGATCACAGCTGACCCATGACAGACGCAGTGGAGAAAACTCGTTCTACAGACAGCCTGGATCCACAAGTATCACCGATAGCTTACATTTAAATAGATTTGTCTTTTTTATTCAGAGTCAACACATAGATATAATCATATAATCATTATCAATAAGCAGAAATGAATAAAATCACATCCCTGCAATTTTTTTGTTTATTCTTCTTCTGCCAATCTACTGAAAGGGGCTCCACATTTGGTAACACAATATGTAACTGTCTGTAGTTAGTGGAGAATCATTTACCTCAGTGTGTCCAGTTTACAGTGTTGACTCTTCAGTCCATCAGAGAGAAGCTTCACTCCTGAATCCTGCAGGTCATTGTTACTCAGGTCCAGCTCTCTCAGCACACAGTTTGAGGATTGTAGAGCTGAAGAAAAACTCTCACAGCACTGAACAGTGAGTTTACAGCTCTGTAGGCTGTGAGGGAAAGCAGAAATATTGATTTTGCATTCATATAGCAGGGGTAATCCAAAGCAGAGACAAAACAATTGAATGGTGTGTATTAGTTTGAGAAAAGATAAAAATCTCTATATGGACTCTGTAAATAGTGAATTTTAGGGAGAATCATTAAAGCTCTCTCAGCACACAGTCTGAGGATTGTAGAGCTGAAGACAAACTCTCACAAGAATTGGCAGTGAGTTTACCCTGGACAAATCTGAGATATAAGGATTTGAATCAAATTTACAGTGTAATTTTTAGAAATTCATTTGATGTAAATAATAATTATAATTAATCAGTCAATCAATCAATCAATCAGGTGTTTGTGTTGCATATTTAGTTGATCATTATCTTGAGTTTAATTAGAGTAATGTGTTCATTATACAAGTAATAATTAAAGAGCGCAGGTCACTTTAAGAGTTTGGACAGACAGGATCACAAGTTTTTGTCAGAGTGTGAGTTTTGTGGAACGGGAAAGTGAAGGACAACAATAGAAGTATAACAGTTCTAGTATATTTTGTGTCATCTTTACGAACATAACAGTTTGAACTCAGACCTCAGTGTCTCCAGTTTACAGTGTTGACTCTTCAGTCCATCAGAGAGAAGCTTCACTCCTGAATCCTGCAGGTCATTGTTACTCAGGTCCAGCTCTCTCAGCACACAGTTTGACGATTGTAGAGCTGAAGACAAACTCTCACAAGAATAACCAGAGAGTTTACACAGGACAAATCTGAGAAATAAGAAAACAAATCAAATTTACAGTGTATTTTTGTCATTCACTTCATGCAAATAATAATTATAATCAATCAGTCAATCAGGTGTTTGAACTCAGACCTCAGTGTCTCCAGTTTACAGTTCACAGTCTTCAGTCCATCAGAGAGCTTCTTCACTCCTGAATCCTGCAGGTCATTGTTACTCAGGTCCAGCTCTCTCAGCACACAGTTTGAGGATTGTAGAGCTGAAGACAAACTCTCACAGCACTGAACAGTGAGATTACAGCCCTGAAGCCTGTGAGGGACAAACAGAATTAATGATTTTGCATTTATCTATTAATCCAGAGCAGAGACAAAAACACTTGAATGTTCTGTTTTAGTTTGAGCAAAGGTAAAATCACTATATGGACTCTGTAAATACTGAATTTAAGGGAGAATACAAGGCTGTAAAATAAACATAAAATTATTCTTTAGCTAACAATTCACAGTTTTGTGTGATAATTAATTATTAGTTATCATTATTAAAAACTTTTTCCAAACTCATGGTAACATATTAGAGCTATCAGTTTTGAAATGAGATTATATTATTGTATTGTGTAAAAAGAGAATCAAAGTATTGAAAAGAATGTCTGAAAGTGGAGTAAACATAAGCAGAACAGATATTGTGTACAGCAGGAGATCAGTGATACATGTTTGATGTGAAAACACAAATAGTCTGTGCTGTTTCTGCTCTGCATGTATTTGACTCATGGGCTGCAGATGTGTTGCAAATCGATGTGTGAAATGGGCATAAGTGTATCCAGAAAACTCTTACAGTGCTCTTGTGGTGTTCTTGACCACTGGCATCAGTCTCATCAGTGCTTCATCAGATCTTCTGTACTTCTGCAGTTCAAACTTCTCTTGAGTCTCTTCTGACATCAGGAGCACAAACACCAGACCCGACCACTGAGCAGAGGACAGATCCTGTGATGTGAGATTTCCAGAGCTCAGACTCTTCTGGAGGTCCTCCACAAAGTCATCCTTCAGTTCATTCAGACAGTGGAAGAGGTTGATGGTCCTCTCTGCTGATTTCTCCTCCTCTATTTTCTTTTTGATATAGTCTGTCGTGTCTTTGATGTTCTCAGTTTTGGGCTTCAGTCGTGGCAGAAGCTGCTTCAGGTCACTCTGATTAGACTCCAGTGAGAGACCCAGCAGGAAGCGGAGGAAAAGGTCCAGGTGTCCATTCTTGCTTTGTAAAGTCTTCTTAACTGCATCCTTGTGAAGTTTAAACAGGGTCTTTGTAGAGAGTTTCCATGCCAGTTCCTTTTTCCTGGAATCAAGAAATGGATTTGCTTTCTGGTCTTTGTAAGTGAAAAACACATAGAGAGCAGCGATGAACTCCTGAACGCTGAGATGAACAAAACTGTACACCTGTTCCCCTGAGATGGGGTTTTCCTCCTGAAACATTCGAGTACATAATCCAGAGAACACAGACCCTTCCTTGACATCCAGCCCACACTTCTCCAGATCTGTTTTGTAGAAAATCAGTTGTCCTTCCTGCAGCTGTTCAAAGGCCAGTTTCCCCAGCTTCAGGACAATGTCTTCAAAAGACCAGGCCTTGGCGTCAGGGTCAGAATCGCTGCTGTATTTTTCTGTCATCTGTTGCTTTTGAGACAGTAAGTAGCTGCTGTACATCCCTGTGAGAGTTGTGGGTGTTTTGTCATTGCTCTCTTGACCCAGCAGAGGCTGAAGAACAGTGAGAGAGATCCAGCAGAAGACAGGGATGTGGCACATGATGTACAGACTCCTGGATTTCCTGATGTGACTGATGATGTTTCCAGCAACCTCAGCACTGCTGTTTTTGATGAAGTACTGCTCCTTCTGCTCATCACTGAATCCTCGCACCTCAGTCACCTGATCAATGTAGATTTGGGGTATCAGACTGGCTGCTGCTGGTCTAGATGTGATCCAGATGAGGGAAGAGGGCACAAGCTCTCTCTTTAAGAGATGTGTTACTATCTTACTCACTGTCATTTCCTTATCAGCATCTGTAAATCCATCCTCCTCTTTAAAGTTCAATTCAAAGCGATATTCATCCAGTCCATCAAAGATGAACAGGACCTTGCCTTGTTTTTCAGGAAGAGAGCTCAGTCCTCCACTGCTAAAGAAGTACTTGTTAAGCAGACCTATGAGACTGTACTCTTTTTCTTTAATCAGATTCAGTCTACGGAACGGCAGTGGAAATATGAAGACTATTTCCTGATTGTCTTTTCCTTCAGCCCAGTCAAGGATGAATTTGTTGACAGAGACAGTCTTTCCCACTCCTGCAATCCCCAGTGTCAGGACTCTTCTGTTTTGTTGACCTGTGTCAGGCTGAACTTTAAACATGTCATTACACTTGATTGGTTTATCCTCGGCTGTCTGTTGGTTGTGTTTTGACTCTATCTGTATCACCTCATGGTCATTCTCTCTTCCTCCAGTCTCGTTCTCCACCACATATAGATCAGTGTAAATATCATCCAGCTTCTTCTGGTGACCCGTCTGTGAATCACCAATCAATATCTGCTTATAGTCCTCCTTTAACTTCTCCTTTAGTTCACGGCTGGTGTTTGTGTAATCAACAGGAGGGGATTTACAGGTCTCTGAAGCTGCACCTTTACAAGAGAGAGGAACAATGAGTGTTTTTATTAAAGTGAATTATAATTATGTCCTGTGCTTTACAATACTAAAAAATAACAACAGCACTCATGAAGTCATTTGTTTCATCATTTAAATGACGTGACACCTGTATGGTGTTGAATGAGCAGGGGTAGCTGATTTGACTTGAATCTTATATTGTATTGATGTAAACAAAGTTGATTACTCAGAATAATGCAGGATGTTTCAAAAATAATTCTCCAAAATTACAGTGTGTCTATTACAGGTTTTTGAATTACTGCTGATCATTTGCTGTCTCAATGTTTCCTGACCTTTCAATTTATTTAGTTATTTTTATTTTTCCCCACAGGAACAACTGTCTGCAAACAAAACATGCACACAAATATAGAGAAATTTTATTTAAAATATATATATATATATATATATATATATAGTTTTTGTCCCCAAAAAAAGTCTCTTTCATTTGAAGAAGAAAAGCTCAAGCCCTCCAAAGCAAGATCCAAGGACAACTTCATTATCATTTAGGAAATGCACAGTGTGAGCCGGCTTTACAATGTGTTCTTGTTCCAGTAATGTTTATTTTACAACTGATCTTTGTTCTTGTTTTCCTTTGCTCAACTCTATTTTCCATTATTGTTCATTATGTCTGTGCAAATGAGTAGTAAATGATTGTTTTGATAGTTTTATCTGTGGAGGTCTTCTCTCTTTGTAAAGCATTAATTGTGTAAAAGGCTTGATAGAGATCTTGCAGTTGGATTATGATTCTGCTAATGCTCAGTTATTTTAACAGCCATGCAGACTCCTGATGACAGAAGATGAGGGGCTACTTTACAGAAATCCAATTCTCACATAAACTTTAGTGAGAGTAGTATTCATTTATTAATTCAGTTTCTTTTCGGCTTAGTCCCTTCCTTAATCTGGGGTCGCCACAGAAGAATGAACCGCCAACTTATCCAGCACATGTTTTACGCAGCTGATGCCCTTTCAGCTGCAACCCATTTCTGGGAAACATCCATACACACTCATACACTACAGACATTACGGACAGTGTGAGCTGGCTGTACAATGTGTTCCTGTTTCAGAAATCTTTGTTTTACAGCTTATTCTAAGCTTCTTCATTCTTGTTTTACTTTGTTTATTAACATAGATATGCCTTGTGCTTCCCAATACAAAAAATAACAATTGCACATATAAATAAAGTAACAAATTCAGATGAATGAAGATAAACAATATATTCACACACATTAGCTATATACAAAATATTAAATGTATTTAAATGCATTGCTTAGAAGCTGTTCAATAAATGTTATGACAATACATCTGACTCAAAAACCATTGCTAGGACAGGGTTTTAACATGAAAGATTTTAACTGAAAATGATCACATTTGTAAAGTTTGACAGGGAATTAAACAATACCTTGCTTCTGTGTATTCTCCAGATCTTCAGCCAATTGATTCTGGTTTAGTTTCCTCAGAGTGTCCACTGTGATCTTCACAGCTCTTTCTGATCCAAAACATGACACCAACTTATCCACGGTATTTCGCCTGTCTGCATTCTCCATTTCAGCTTTTGAAATCTCTCTATGGTCATTCATTAAATGCCACTGAAAGTCCTTTAGTGTATCTTCTAGCAGTTCATCCAGTGATTTCTTGAGCAGCTGTTTAACATTTGCCATGGTGCTTCACCCACTCACAACTACAGGACAAGAGCAACAACATCTGCATTAGTTTCACAATTAACATATGGACCTGAGCATTTATTTATAAACTGAAAAAGGAAATTAACCAGTGAGAAACTTCACATATCAGAAAGCTAAATATTGAAAATTGACTGTCACTACTTAAAGTGGACTAAAAAAGTGGAATTATTGCAAAAAAGTGAACTCTGAAGAAACTGACCACTAATTTAATATAAAAGCTCTTGGAACGCAGTTGTACATGCTCAGAATCCACTGAATCATGTTGTTTTTATTGTGACACACATGGCCACTGTTACGATCCTTGATGGCAATTTGTCTAGGGTATTAAAAGGAGTAACATAAAGATGACCAAAGTATAAACTGATGTTGAAAAATGGCAAAAGAAAACACCAAACAACAAATTAGCACCGCAAAAGATTTATTGCTCCCACATTATTTACAATATTTACAAACCATAAGATAAATTTGAAAAGAACCAAGACAAATAGGAGAGGGAACTGAAGTTTGCGCATGGAAATCAAAGAAATAAATAACAAAAACATTTCCTTAATCTCCTCCCCAATCCACTAAATAAGAAAATAACAATATGAAAAGAAAAGTCTTCAGCGCAAAGTGCCCTGAACTTACTCTAACTAATAAATAAAAATAAAAAATTAGCGCACTTCGCTAACTAGTGTGTCTATACATCAATAATCCTGCGTGCAAATATGTATGTCACGTGACTTACTATGTTGTTCCAGATCTCCCTTGTCAAGTCACAGAAGGTTTTGAATGGAGCATTAGCGGGCTATAGATGTAGAAACACACGTCAGAACTCTCAAACAAATCTTACTCAAAGTCATCAGTTACTCACTCAAAGTCAACATCAATAGATCTCAATCAAACCACACATCAGTAACAGCGACAACGCACACGGACTCCACCAAACAGACAACACGCCAAAACAACAAGAGCTGATCTCTCCCCGTTGCTGCTTCCGTTTTTAAAGGGCTCTGCAACGAACGCGATTGGCAGAGAGAGAAGTCATCGTCACACGGTTGATTAGGATTGGCAGTCCTGTCAGCCAATAGTGCTCCAAAGTAGGCGGTACCTGAGAAAATGACAGGGCCGGTACAGAGAGAGAGAGAGAAAGAGAGAGACAAAGAACATACACGCAGCAAAACTGTGCGGTTCGTAACAGCCACCTAGACCTCAGTTTATGCTGTTT